TACAGGGTATCCTGAGCCAACTTCCTCTGGAAAGCTTCTGTTTACACGTAGTCGTGGCCGGGGAAACCATTTATATGCCAGCACCAAGCATCTCACTTGGATCCAAGAACATGGTGGAGAGGCGTATGGGCACGGTCTACTTCAACACCACAAGCCAATCCATTTGCTTTTGTTATGGAGCTGTCACGGAGAGTACCAAAGTCAATCAGTTTGCAGATGTCGTTGAAGAAGACCTCTCAAATCTGATTCGATTTGGGAAGCTGGTTTATCAGGAAACAATTAACCGGAGGCTTCCCAAAATTGTACCCATATCTGTTCGCCTAAATGGCACCAGTGCCCCAACTGCGAGCCCATCAGTGGAACTTCTGAGTCTCCGCACTCCTTTGGGAGATTGGAAGTCAGTGAAGCAGACCATTGATCGAAAGTGTGAGCAACTCAGGCGACCAGAAGAGCCGGATGAGATCAAAAATATCCGACTTGGCGCTGTCCAAACGCTGGCTGGCGGGGAGTCAAGCCCTTTTCAAGCCACTATTTTCCTCCAGGGATTCCTGTCTACGCTGGGACCACACGTGTTTTCGCGATTACTCTCTCTTTCAGAGGACCCCGATATCAGTCTACCTTTAATCATACGACAAACAAGAGTGTTTCTACTCGACACCTTCGATCATTTTAAATTCCTCAACGATCTAGGCTTGAACGGTCTCGATACTATCGGAGCTGCCTATGAGCAGGCATTAGGGTCGTTGGAGAGCTTAGACGACTATAGAGAGTTAACTGACTCGGTGCGGACTCTCATTCAACTCTTCTACCGATGGGTACATCTCATTTTCCCTTGGTATTTGAAATCAGAGTTTCCTGGACGGACAGCTGAAGAGGTCGCCGCTCTGCCAAAGCTTGAAGTGTACAACTCTGCAGAAAAATGAATAGAATCGAGCTAAATGTTTTCTGGTCTCATTCGTATCTAAATCTTTGTAACACCGCGATATTGCCTCGAACTATATTGGAAGTAAATGCTCATTTCCCATTAGGTATTGGACTGGTGAGACGATTGTATTTGAGCTTGTGTGTATTGAGAAATAAATAAAAAGCTGGGTTAACCTAAACAGCTGTAAGAAAGCAATTTGGGGCCATACAAGATATAGACGCCTGAGCAATATTATAAAGAGGAACCAAGTGTCATTCTAAAAGCTTGATAGAAGGTCTATGCCTAGATCTGGACTTCGCAGCTGTAGCCACGAACAGATAAGACTAGGAAGCACGGATAAATAATCTAGGGCAATGCTCTGGGTTGTAGGCCTTAATCTTCGGAAGTAGTTGAAGAGAATTACAACAGTCACCCCTTCAAATCACGTAGTGAATTACGCGTATTCGAAGAGGATGAGCTGGAGTTTTAAATGGGGTGCACCAAGGAAAGAGTCGTAAAAGCAACAATAGGTCTCCGTCTTTTATTAAGAAGATACTACATGGAGAATATAAACTAGAAGTGAGATGTTGCAGTAGAACAGAGCGTTGGATCCAATTCAATACAACCGCATAGAATGAGGAGCAGGGAGGCACCAACAGGAAAATCGTTCCAAGCCAGAGGTCTGCGATATTTGAAGTTAGGGTTCAGTTATTATCGCCCGACAAAGAGCACCACTACAGTCGGCCGTGGTCTAGGCTCAATTAAAGATAGGTTGCTCTGCTTTAATCTTCGCAATCATCGCCAGCACATGTCTTCGAGACTAAACACACCCCGCGCCTCGCAAGCCTAAATCGCCAAGCACAGAAAGTCTGCGGCCAAGGCCATAAATGATTGGAAGACGCATCTGTTACTAAGTGTATACACCAATTGATAACGTCAGCCTGTGAAGCAAGCACGGCGTATCTTATTCACACAAGGAATATACGCAATAACATTACTTGGCAAGCTGTTGATTGGGCGGAATTTAAACTCAAGAATAAGCTCCAAGATCTGGACGTCAATCACCTTCCATTAAAAGGAGGTGCCCGAAGCGAGATACCATCACCTGCCCGGAAGAGAGTAGCGGGGAGACAAATAACCTATGCCTGTAGGCTTATGCCAAGAGTTCTGAGCTCGTAGAGTGACATACCGAGTCTTCCTATCTTCTAGCGCTTCTTGGCTGGATGCCTAGATGCATCAACACGGTGGGATCGTCGTTCCCCCGCTCCCTCATTCAGGCTTTGGGGTTGGATTGCCGAAGGGAACGGTTGCTTACGCCAACCATTGCATTTGAAATGTCGAAGCCAAGCCTGGTGAGCGGGGAGGCGGCCTCCCATAGAAGGGTTGGGGGAAGCTGGGATTACCAAGCTCTTGAGCATAAATAGAGGGTGACGGCCCTCGCTTCACTGCCCCTTTGAATGCCATCTGTATTCACCTTCTTTCGCTGGACATAAATCTTTTGGATAGTCATTTCTCAGTGACAATGGTTCGTCTAGATTGTTTAGCTCTGCTGAACTTTGCCATGGTGGGCATGACCAGCGCAGCTGGTGGTGGAACCAAGGAAGAGTATGAGTCCGGGGCAGTCCATGCTAGGTTCATGAGCATCAAGATGGTAAGTTTAACGAAACCTCGTTGGGTGGCTAATGACTGACCCGCGCACAGGCTCAATGGGCGGAGGAGGAAGCCCTAGGCAAGATGGATAGCTCCCAGTATCCTCCGCTCGGGTACACTCCTTGTGTGAATGGGTTCGCTGCTGCTATACCCGGAGATGAGTTGAATACGTTTAGATGCCACAAGTACGATACCCCACTTCTGTTCTGAGCTGATCTGATAAAGAATTAACAAAATAAAGCATCGACCTCTATTCATTCTTATCCCATGCTGATCTGGGTAGCTGGGGTGGACGAGGCTCTTCCTCATGGGGTTGGACCTCGGCTGATGGACGAGAGATTGTTGCTATAGGGCAGTACGACGGCACTGCGTTTGCAGAGATCACGAGTGAAGGCAAGCTTGTCTATCTCGGTCGTCTTCCCCAGTACGACAAGATTGGCTCCCAATGGAGAGAAATCCGGATCGTTGGAGATATTGCTGTCATTGGCTCGGAGGCGATGAGACATGGAGTGCAATTCTTTGACATGAAAAAGACTCTCGACCTTGACCCAGCGAACCCCAAGAATTTCACACAAGATGAGCTTACTGATCACTGGGATGAGCTCCCTGTCGGCCGTACACATAACATCGTGGTCAATCACGAGTTAAACTACGCCATTGCCGTTGGGTCTGTTGGTGGCAATGAGACTGTCCGTGTCCGAGATCCTAATCTGCCTTGTCGTGGCGGTTTGATCTTCCTGGACATTAGTGATCCGACCAACGTCACCTCTCCTGGCTGCGCTGCTGGTATGCTCTGACCTGCTATGTGAACCACGATCAAGATGATTCTGACTTATTGATAGGCGATGGGTATGTGCACGATGCTGAATGTCTCGTTTACCGAGGTCCAGACGAGAAATACTATGGCCGTGATATTTGCTACGGCTATAACGAAGATACCCTCACCATCTATGATGTTACTGATAAAGTCGGTAATGTAACCAACATCATTTCGATTGTCGATTATCCCGGTGCCGAATATGTTCACCAGGGCGTCGTCAACAACGAGACTTGGCAAGAGTATCTATTCATCGACGACGAGTTCGATGAGCGCGATGCTAAAGTCGGGCCTATGACACAGGGCCTGCCTACCACTCATATTTTTGATATTAGGGATCTTGAAAATCCCAAGTACACTGGATATTACGCAGGCAAGACCAGATCTATCGATCACAACCAGTACGCGGTGGACGGGTACTTGTACCAGTCCAACTATGGCAATGGCCTCAACGTGCTAGACGTCCGCAGTGTGACTAAGGATCCTACCGGAGGGAGCATTTGCGAGGCTGGCTTTTTCGACATCTACCCGGAGGATGACGAGAATGAGGGCGGCGGCACTGTCGCCTTCCTCGGCTCCTGGTCAAGCTACCCTTACTTCAAGTCAGGCTTCATCCTAGTCCATACTATCGAGCGTGGTACTTTTGTCGTCAAGATGACATCCAAGGATTGCGCCAAGCAGCCGGTGTGCAATGCGGACAACTGTCTCCGTGCCTTGCGCGCATCACACATCCCGGGCCGGTTGGAGGAAAGCGTTGAGTTCTGCGGGAACTTTACTCGCCGTCTCAGGGATGACGAAGAGCTCTTACCTCAGTATGCTACTGATGCCTGTAAGAATAAGCCGGTGGAGAGAGTAAGCAGTGCTTGTGCTTGTCTGCCAACACAGACTGTTCCAGATCTGCCGAGAACGACAAGCCGTCCACCACCACCAACCGTGCTGCCGGACAGGCGATGATAGGTGCAATTATTACCAGAATGCATCTCATAGGGTGGGAGTCTTTGACTATCATCCTGTTTGATATATATTTGAACAAAATAAATCGATATTGCTTCTTGATTATGCTTCAACTAACTGACCTTGCTGTTGTTGGCTGGCTGCCCATCGTGTTGATTGACGTAATATATAAACCTTCCTGCCTGTTGTTTCTCCAAAAGGTGCTAATACCGCATAGTGGTTTATCAAGCTAGCAACAGTTGTCGCCATGGCTCAATATGTATTAATCAAAACGAGGATGTCTGTAGCAGAAACAAGCTGAAGAAGGATAGAACCGATCTTTTAATTTTTTGCATGTGATCGTTCCGTTCTTTGTCCGCCTTCCCAATGCAACAGTAAGCTTCCGAGTCAAGAAATAATTCTCCCGACTGAGACAGCCACAACGCATTGATGCCTTAACCACCGAAAGTGCAATTCTGGGCCAATGAAACTCCCCTTCCCCTCCGGAAAAAAGGAGGGGAGGTGAACATGTGCCCAAGGCGTATCTTGAGGCAGATTCAACAAATCTGCCTCGCGTACCGTGAGGATTGAATAAAAGAGTTGTTCTTTGTCAGGTTAGGATGCGATCTTTTGTTCCCCATCTGATACAAATTCTTCCGCTCGTACACTGCCCTGTCCAGCAAAAGCATTGAAAAGATGGAAGCTACACAGACATACAAGTACACGGCTCTCAGCGGACCTCGAACCATTCGGGTCTTGCGTCTCTCAGGAGGCAGTACGGACAAGGTATTTGCTGAGCTCATCGAAACAAATCTTGACCATTCTTGTCCCTACGAAGCAATCTCTTATGCCTGGGGCAAGGATGCCAAGTCCCATATTCTCAATTTACGGGGAGGGAGCCCCATCAAGATTACAGAATCCCTATATCATGCACTCAAAGATATACGATATTCTGCGATCGAAGACGGGCCCCGATACCTCTGGGCAGATGGTGTTTGCATAAACCAGGAAGACATTGATGAGCGAAACCAACAAGTGGGTTTGATGGCTGAAATATACGGTTCAGCTCTCAAGGTCATCACCTACGTCGGTCAAGATACGTTGGACGTGAAGAAAGGAATTAAATTGGCCGAAACGCTTGTATTGGCTCGCAAAGAGTCAGTGAATAAATCCAACGCCAAGCGTCAAATTCCTGATGAGACTGATCCTGCTTGGCCGGCGTTACGTGACTTTCTTGGAAGAAATTGGTACACACGAATGTGGATTATCCAAGAGTCGGTTTTGAATAAAAAACGGGATAATCGTTTGTGGGAGAACCGAGATTACTTGGGATCTATTCCTCAGTTTGAGCAACTTGTTGACACATGGCGCGTACAAGGAATATATTAGTATTGTCCCATTTTCCGAAAAGCAGATTGGGGCATTGGGCTGGATGAATGAGCTGAGGAATTACCACCGAGAGCACCCAGAAGGAATGCCTTTATTACAGCTCCTGAAAGGTGGTCGGGAATTCGATTGCTCCAACCCTAAAGACCATGTTTTCGCCGTTTCTTCCCTCATGGAAGAGTCCTGTCGGATCAAACCAGATTACAAAAAAGACATCAGCTGTGTGTATTTCGAAGCGGCTGAGCAGATCCGAAAATCTTGTGGCCTGGATATACTGAGTTATGCCGGCATGTGGAAAAACCAGGAGGTTCCATCTTGGGTGCCCGATTGGAGTTTCCACCCCGAGCAAATTCCCATTTTGCAATCTCGTTGGTTTAACGGCTTACTGTTTGGTGTCTTGAGACATATATATGTGCCTGCTGACTTAAAAAATCGTCAACTACGCCTTTCAGGTTGCGTTTTCGATCGGGTGGTTCATGTTGGTGGCACTTTACGCAGGTCTTTTATAACAGGCAGAATGGCGCGCTATGAGTGGGCGCGAAAACAGTACTCGCTGCTCACTGAGTCTGGTACAAAATACGTTGGAGGAGGAAGCAGTCTGGAAGCATTTTGGAGAACTCTTATCTTGGATTTGGATCCTGAGAAACGCATGCAGCATCACAGCGCCTTGCCAGCTTCCGGGGCCTATTTTGAGTCGTACGTGCGCCCAAATAAGACGTGGGCTCGCGACGAGGCGCTGGCGTCTCTCGAGGAATACCGACCTGATCAGCGGCTGAAACTACCGGAGACACAGCCTGAAGTTATGGAAGCTTGGAAGAGGGAGTCCAGGCTGGATCCCACCGAGTGTAGTAAGGATCAAGGGACGGATAATGTCTTCCGCTCACTTCGACAAAAAGACTCTCAGTCGCAAGGTTCAAGCAGGCAAGGCTTCAAGTACCGTGATCTCGTGCTTAAAGCCCAAAATCTCTACCGGGCATTCTTTATGACAGAGAAAGGTTACATCGGCATGAGCGCACAAGGGGTGGGATTAGACGATTTGGTCGCGTTTATCCCTGGTGCACGGGTTCCGTTTTTGCTTCGCCGAACAGCAAGCCGCTCGACATATTCGCTTGTTGGTGATTGCTATATCCACGGGCTGATGAACGGGGAGTTTTTGAGAGGTGGCCATTGGAATGTGTCACTTATCATTTTGATTTAAAGATGTGTCAAGAACTAGCATTCTAAGCCAAAAGGGAAGTCCTGTAACCCGGCCAAGGGGGTTCTACTAGATATACCATGTGACAGCTCGTCGTGTGTTTTGGACGCTCACACCAATTTTTACCTCGTTGCAGCGTTTCGCTACTTTTCTCTTTTTCCTTTTTCCTTTTTCTTTTCTGAAACTCCGTACTCTATTACAAGCGGGAGGCGGGCGAGCTGACATCTGACAAATTGATCTTGATGCTATCCGCGACCCAAAGTCTTGGTTTTGGCTGCCCTTTACCAATCTCGGCGATCAGGCCGCAAAATCTCCCTACAGCCCGCTCTTACCTGCATGCCGACCGTCCAAACCATGTCAGCCTTAACCTTGATCCTACTTTAAAGGGGCGTTCGGGCATCGACCAAGTGGGACTGGCGAGTCAAGGCGCCGCACTCCGCGGGCTGCGTACGAAGGAATCCACGGGGCATCAATGTACGCGCCCAGGGTGCTCCGATGGAAAAAAAAAGCCTTGGCGTGCATTGATGGCGCGCCTTAATGGATGACGAAAAATTTCCAGCGTGGAAAGCATGCCATCCGCGGCGGCCGGTGTGGACTCGACTGGAATGGCTGCCTCACGGTCATCCGATCGCTGGTTTCTCCTGCTGTTGCTTCTTACGCAACCAGAAGCAATATCTGCCTTAATTTCTGTGTCTAGCTCTCGCACATGGGCCTTCTTTTGACACGTTGTCGGCAAAGCTTCTCGTGTCGATGCTTGGGCGTGTCTCATCCCTGAACATTTTAGCTGAGCTGATCGGAACAATGGTCTGGTTGTCAACTAATTCATTGAAATTTTAGCGATGGTGAGTCATTGCGTCAGATATAGTAGTACATTAAAAATCATTCATTCGTAATATCTACTTGTGCCCTTGCTCTATTCTATGACTGGAGGAAAAAGGAAAGGAAAAGAAAAGAAACCCTTAGCTAGGTAGCCATGAGCCGATGCCGTTGCTTTTCTACGGTCGCCATATGCATTTCCGTGAGAGAACTGGGCAGCTCCTCCATGATGCTTCTCAACCTCCGAAGTACGTGTCGCCGAGGATTGCACTCTGCATGACTCCGGACTGCGTCGTGTAGCCTTTCCTCCCCGATGTCATGAATAACCAGCTCTGTCAGCTTGCCGTAGAGGCCCAGAATACTGTACTCGACTTCTTCAGCATCCGGCAGGGGCCAGAGCCCAGCCCTTGCCAGGCAGAAGGTCATTGATCCAAGTATCATGGACTCGCACTTATGATGACCCATCCATTGCGCGTGGCGGCACCATCTTGGCCTCTCGTCGACCACTACCAAGGCCTCGGTCATGTCGCCGACGACTTCCAGAAGTGACCGGGTGGTTTGGGTGCGGATCGCATCTATGCGCTCTGCGAGAATATGGATCGTTAGCTTGTCAAATGTACATGTCGAGATTCTGCTGTTGGAAAACCTACCGACGACATCTGGGGGAGTCTGGATGTCCTCTTCCTCGCACGTGTCCATAAACGGGGGCCCGTCAACTTCCAGTAGCATCCGGCGAGCTGTGTCCTCCAAGATGCTGATCTTCCCTAGCTCCCACGCCACCCAAAGCACCTTTGGGAGGAGGACGCGCGCATCCTGTTTGGAGATGCCGTCCATACAGGCGATCCACGAGTCAACCCATGGACTCAGTAATGCGGTAGCATCGTAGTAATTGGTGAGGACGGTCAGGTCGTAGAGCTGATCAAGAGTGAGTGTCTTGGGCACAGCTAAAAACTGGCAATGTGCGATGCCAAGCAATATGCCCATGGGTTCTGGCTTGTCGTTGGGGAGATTCACGATCCAGTCTTGGTCGGGAGTGGTTGGTTTTCTGGCTTCGGCAAAGTGGCCGTAAAGCATGCGATCGAAAACAGGCGAGATTCTCGCCAAAGTCCGAGAGCAGGCTGTGAAGTAGGTGGGCTCGATGGCCAGGCCGTCAGCATCTTTGCTCTGCCCGACTCTTAGCTTTACATCGCCGTGATAATCCAGGTCCACGGGTGATGTAGATCTTGGGCTGGGGTTCTTCTGCATATGCACCATCTCTGTGGGTGGTGGGCTTGGAGATTTGACCTCGAGGGAAGACGGTAACAAAACGAGAGCCATGTTGGTTCAACTAGTATTCTTTGTCTGGCGGAGAGGGTGATGTTGGTGGTGGAATGGTGAGGTTGTAAGACTTGACTGTTGGGATGGATGCCAACTACTACTTAAGCATAAACGAAGGCTCTTATCACGCTGGCGCCAAGACACATCGATTGAGGGTGGGCTCACGTCACGCCGAGTCCCAGACCAGACGCCAAGGGAGGGAGTGCCCTTCGGAATGCCGGATCTCGTATTTGCACGCCCCTTTTGCTGGCCCGAAGATAGAGGAGTATACTGACCTAAGGTGTAGCCCTATAGGTCACCTAAGGTGTACTCCACCCTACCTACCTCTAATTAGTTAGTTACCTTACTAAAAGTAGAGTATACCTTACCTTAACTTCTTAAGTATACTATATTTCTTCTTTACTTCTTTAATAATCTATTATTTAACTTACTTAATTATATATTTAGAATCTATTTATAATTTATTATATTATACTTAGCTAATTTTAATATTTAAGATTATCCTTAGTATTAAGCTTACTAACTTAAAGAGAAGGATAAAAGTAGCTTATTAATAATACCTCTTTACTATTAAGAGTATATATATACTTAGGATTTTAATAAGGTAAGTTATTATATAATAAATTATTAAGTATTTATTAATAATTTCTTAAGATAATAAGCTTAAAATCCTAATTAAAGAATACTTTTATTACTTTCTTAATAATAGGAAATTACTTTACCTTATAGTAAATTAACTCTTATTATATAATAAATTAATAATAAATTAATAATTAATTATTATAAAATTACTACTTTTTATTATATATTAACCTTTAAGCCTATATTAAAGGTATATATAAAGTTATATTAATTAATATTTATTATAGTACTTTTAATATAGCTAAAGTTATTAAAATTTATAGTAAGAGTAATTAATAAATAGATTTAATAATAAATTATTAATTTATTATTAAATTACTATAATAATATAATATAATATCTTAAAGGTAATAATATTAATATCCTAATTATACTTATATTAGTAAAAGCTAGTCCCTTTTATATTATAATAGTTAGTAAACTTATATTAAATAGAGGTCTAAGGTAAGTTAAAGGTATAACTAATTAAAGTATTATTTTAAGAGAGTAATTAAATTATCTTAATATTATATAAGTTACTATTAATATATAAATACTAAGAAGCTAATTTTAATAAAGGTAATAGTAATTATATTAATAACTATTTAAAAGAGTATTTTTATTTAAGAAATAAATATATATATATAATAAAGTTATTACTATCTTATTATTAAATTATTACTTTAGTAAAGTAATAAATTAATTTTATTAATCTCTAAAGTAAAGCTTATTAATCTACTTTATATATAACTTCCTATAGCTTAATAAAAGGCTTTATTTATAATATAATACCTCCTTCTTATTAATCTTATCCTTAAAGCTAATTTATTATACCTTATTATTCTTAATATATACTTAGCTTTATATTTATTTATATTATATATATATTAATAAGATATTTAACTATATTTTTAAATAAAAGAAATTTAACTTAATATATAAGTATACTTAGAAATCTAAGTATATTTTTACTTATGAATTTAAGGTTATACTTTATATTAAGTATATAAAAAAGGATATAGATTATTTTATTATCTTAAGTTTAAATTATTATATTATATATATTTATATTAATTACTTATATAATAATATTTATTTCTTAATATCTTTAAGTATATTACTTTTTTCCTTTATTCCTTTTATATATATTAATTTATTTATAATTAAAAAGATTAATAAAGAGTTATTATATTTAGAGAATAAAGAGTTAAAAGTTAAGGTAGAATTAGCTATAGTATTTATATAAATTTTATATTTATAGAAGATATAAAAATAAACTTTATAAGAAGGGTATAGAAATATTAAAAAAGGGTTTAAATAATATAGAGGAATTAAAAAAAGAGGAGTAAAAAGAAGTAAAGAAGAAAAGTTATTAAGAAGAGCTAAAGTAAGTATAAGCTTAAGAAGCTAAGCTTATATTTTAAGTTTAAACTTTATATACTATATAAGTTATTAATTTTTCTAGTTTTACTTTTAACCCTTTTATAAAGGACCTCTTTAGTAATATTACTTAAGGTAAAGTTATTAATTCTTCTTCTTTTAATAGAATTAATATATTAAATATTAATAATTTTTTAAATATTTAATAAGTTCTTATATATTATTATTTTTATTATAATCTTTTTATTTTATTAAATAGAATATTTATTTATTTTTAACTTCTTTCTTTAGGATTTTTTCTAATTTAAATTCTTCTTTATAAACTTTAATTAAATAATCTTAATTTAATATATTTTCTAGTATTTTTTTAAGTAATAATATATAAAAAACTAAGTAAATATATATTATCTCTCTTCTTTAAGATTAATCCCTTTAATCTTATTTTATTATAATATTTCTTTATTCTTTATTATATAAACCTTAGTTTAGCTTATATTTCTATATATAATAAGTATAATATTTCTTTTATAAGTATAATAATAAGTATTATTAGTTTATTAAGTTTTAGTTTATTTAAGAACTTTAGTTTATAATTATAATTTATATATATTAATAATAATTAAATTAACTTTTATATTATATTATTATATATAATTTATATTATAAGTAATAATTATATTTAATTATCCGGGGGGGGTGCGAGGACAGGTGTGTGTTCGTGTACGTTCATGTGTTTGAGAGAGACAAGTGGGCTTGTATTTGACTGGCCTAGCTATCTATCTCCCTTCCTTCCTTCCTTCCTCCTCTCCTCCCCAGTTGTGTACGTTCTGTCAACCCAGGCAACCTCGGCAGCTGTCTTCGCAATGACA